GTACAGCGTTTCGTGGCCACAGACGGAGCTCCTCCGAAGGCCCCAGAGGCAGGGTCCACATTCGTCTCCCCCGCCTGCGTGGCAGCATCGGGAGCTCCACCGAAGGCCCCAGTGGCAGGGTCCACATGCGTCTCTCCCACCCAGTACAGCGGTTCGTGGCCCATAGGGAGCTCCACCGAAGGCCTCACTGCAAAGTTCGCATGCGTCTCCCAGCCCCATGTCGGCACAGCCTGCACACGCTTCGTGGCCCCATGGGGAGCTCCACCGAAGGCCCCAGTGGCAAGGTCCACTTGCGTGTCCCTGCCACATTTCGGCTCACCCCTCCCTCACACGGTTCGTGTCCCCCATGGGGAGTCTCCACCGAAGGCCGCAGTGGCAGGGCCCCCCCAATCAGCACAGCGTTTAGTGGCTCCATACGGAGCTCCGCTGCAGGCCTCAGCGGCCGAGGCCGCATGCGTCTTCCCCCATCCAATGCAGCGCTTCGTAGCCCCATGGGGAGGTCCACCGAAGGCCCCAATGGCCGCGACCGCATGTTTCCTCCTCACCCAGTACAGCGCTTCGTGGCCCCATAGGGAGCTCCACTGAATGCTCCAGTGGCCCCCGCCGCGTGCGTCAAAGGCTTCTTGGGCGACGTTCGCGTTCGGCCCCTCACGCGTTTCGCGGCGCACCCCTCACACGTTTCTTGGCCCCCACAGTTCGCATTCGCTCCACACCACCACCACCACCAGTTGCACACCCTTCACGCGTTTCCGGGCCGCTCCTCACATCTACAGCCCTAGGTCGAGGAACCTGCTCTTGGCCGAGGTGGGCCGTAGCCAGAGAAGCCCTGTTGTTCTTTGCACTGCTGACGGTAGTAGGGGGCCACATGCGAACCCTACCCCTACCCCCCACGACTTCTGAGGGGGAGGGTGGGGTTCACTTCGCTCGGGAGCTCCCGAACGACGTGGACCCCACCCTCCCCCTCAGAAATCGTGGGGGGTAGGGGTAGGGTTCGCATGTGGCCCCCTAGGCAGCACGATGACTGCAATCTCCAGTGGCATGCTGTCCGGCACGCCTTCCTCGGCGGTGCGGGGAGCCGCCCGCGCGAGCGGCCGCCGAGCGGACGGCCTCGGCACGGCCCGCGTCGCTCGCTCGGCCCCGCGCGCGCCCGTCGGGGCCGCACGTCCTCCGGCGTGCGCCTGGGCGGTGGCAAATCGAGCCTGGCATACCCTCTGAGTGCCGTCTCGAGCGTCGGCCAACCTTGATGTAGCGTCTGGGAGTCGACGAGGTAGCGCCGATGTGGCGTCGGCTAGCGATCGGAGTCGATTCAGCGTCGACGAGCGTCGATCGAGCGTCGACCAGCGTCGGTTCGCGAGAGCCGACAAGATGGTATGGGAGGCTCCCATGAGTTGCCACCGAACGCTTGGGTAGGGGAACGGAAAGTTACATAAACATAAAAACTCGGAGGTCCGCGCGAATTTTTTGAGTCCGCGCTGGACCCCCCTCCCCTTGCGCGCAGAGCGCGCCGGGGGCGGCGCCGGAGGCGCCGCCAGGGGGCCCCAGCGCCGATCCGAGAAATCCGCGCGGATCTGCGTATGTTTATGTCATGGTTCGTCCCCCTACTTGGAGAGTTGACCCCCTTGGCTGGCGTTAAGTCGGGCCTGTCTCTCTACGGGAGGAAAATTCAAAAATAGTCAAAAAACAGTCCAGGGAGTATGTCTTGTTTTTCATCCCAAATCCGCCTGAAGCAGGACACGCCCGACCTAAGGCTGGCGGCCCCGTCGGTGGTGGCGGCCTGGCGGTCGTGGGCTGTTTTGGGCGCCTGTTTCGAGCAGGTGGAGTCCCTCCCCCATAGGATGCACTGTTGCAAAAGGTCGCACTGAGCAGAGGTCCGGAGCCAGACCCCCTCCCCCCTTTCCTGCCCAATGTCGAGCCGCCGAATCAAAAAAGGCTCACCTACTTGGAGAGCGGACCCCCTTGGCTGGCGGCCCCGTCGGTGGTGGCGGCCTCTCGCGGTCGTGGGGGAGGCGGTCCCACACGCCGAGGGCTCCTTGGGCGTCGGGCTGTGGCGAGCGTGCGGGCCGACGAGCGGCGCGCTGGGGCACCGCTCCACTCGGCGGTGAGCGAGGGGGGGAAGTGTGAAGGGGCGGGCCTTCTCAGAAGCCCCCTGGCCTTCTGAGAAGTTTTCTAAGCCTTCCCCTTGGCTGGCGGCCCCGTCGGCGGTGGCGGCCTCTCGCGGCCGCGGGAGGGGCGGCCCGGCACGCCGAGGGCTCCCTCCACGAGAGCTAAGTCGGGCACATCCCTCTTGTAGGAATATTCAAACATAGCCAACAAAATATTTGAAGCATTGTTTGATTATGTGTCATGTTTCGTCCAAAATCCGCCTGTAGGGAGACATGCCCGACCTAACACGAGCGTGGTCGTCTTCTTGTTCATGCCCAGCCATCCTGTCGTGTTGGGTCCTCGTTTTGAAGCACGGTCCCCCCTCCCCCTCCTCCTCCTCCTCCTCCTCCTCCTCGTCCTCCTCATCGTCCTCCTCCTCCTCCTCCTCCCCCTCCTCCTCCTCCTCGTCCTCCTCCTCCTCCTCCTCCTCCTCCTCCCCCTCCCCCTCCCCCTGCCCCTCCCCTCCCCATCCCTCTCCCCCTCCCATCCTCCCCTTGGAGTAGATCTTTGCTGTTTTCTGCGCATGTTTTAAGCAGGTGGAGTCTCCCCGACGGGACGAACTGTTCCCAGCCATCTTGTGGTGTTGGGTATTCGTTTTGAAGAGACGGTCCCCCGTCCTCCTCCCCCTCCTCCTCCTCCCCTTCCTCCTCCTCCTCCTCCTCCTCCTCCTCGTCCTCCTCCTCTTCCTCCTCCTCCTCCTCCTCCTCCCCCCTCCTCTTCGTCCTCTTCTCCTCCTCCTCGTCATCCTCCTCCTCCTCCTCCACCTCCTCCTCCTCCTCCTCCTCCTCCTCCTCCTCCTCCCCCTCCTCCATTCCTTCTCACAGATAACTCCTCCCTGTCGCACCCCGCGGCCAGTTGTTAGGGCGGTCTGGGCGTGTCGCCTGAGATTGCCTCACCATTTATAACTCTGTAGCTAAAAAAGTGACAACAGTTTCACAGATGGAGGGCGGGCCGCTTTCAACATGTGGCTCTCGCCCGTAGCGCCGCGCACATTCGTTTTAGAAGTTTGCACGAGCTTCTCGGATTGAGGGCGGGCCGTTTTCAAAATGTTGTTCTCGCCTTAGCGCCGCGCACATTCGTTTTAAACCTGTACAAGAGCTTCACGGATTGAGAGCGGGTCGTTTTCAAAATGTAGTTCTCGCATTAGTGGCGCGCACATTCCTCTGACAACATTGCAAGGGTTTCACGGGTTGAGGGCGGGCCGTTTTCAGCATGGGGTTATCGCCTTGGCGCCGTGCACATTCGTTTAAACAAAGTGCAAGAGTTTCACGGATTGAGGGCGGGTGGTTTTCAAATTGTTGTTCTCGCTTCAGCGTCGTGTACATTCGTTTTAAAAATGCCAGGGTTTCACGGATTGAGGGCGGTTACGTTTCGAAATGCGGTTCTCGTTTCAGCGCCGCGCACAGTTGTATTTGAAGATAAAACGGCTGGTGCTCACCCCCGAGATGCTCATCGGGAACAGGGATCTCTACGTCGCGGACGACGCCTTGATCCTCGAATGCTTCTCGCCGGCGGTGATGACCAAGGCCGGCCCGTTGTGCACCGAAGCTCTGTTCCTTTCGTCGGAAAAGGTGTTGGTCCGGACCGAGGCGACGGCCGACACCTGGGTAGAGCTGATGGACTCATTATGTCGGGAGGGGGAGCTTACCATCATCACGAAACTCCGATACAAAGCAAGCCGTTTCGGCGGGCGCCCGTTTGCTCTACCCTCTGCCACTGCCAGTGCCATGGCGGCTGCTCGGCGCCGCCGGGGCAAGGCTGGACGCGCGCCCCAGCTGATGGACTTCGCGACGGAGGTCAGGATCAACGGCGAGCCCGGGCTCCATGACAAGCTCATCTTCGACAAGATTATGGCCCACGTCTGCAGCAGCACCGGCATCACGCTGGCTGCCTACGACGAGCACTCCAACGTGCGCTCCGGTTTCTGGAAGCACCTCGCCTCCCATGATCCTGCAGCCCCTCCTGGGCGAGCTCGCCTCAGTTTGGGTACTCAGGAAGAAGTCGCCAAAGTCCACGCTGCCCTTCATGGCCGCCAAGTGTTCCAGGTTGGGAGCGATTGGTTGTCGATCACGGTGCACAGTGACCTGATGGATGCACGCCCCCTGGCGGGAAACGGTGGCCGGGTGCCCTGAGCGATCCACGGGCACCCGGGACGGCGGCGGATCGCTATTGCATGCGTTTTGGAATTCAAGTTTTTGAACTGGATGGCTCTACCCATTGGCTGTTGGACCTCGACATCTCGCTCCGCTGCCCCCTCGGTCAGCCGAGCGCTTTGCTTCAGGACTCCGTGGTCAATAATGGCAGGGACGTCGGCACTACGAATTCATCTTCCTCCCCAAGTCGCTTGTTCTCCAGATCCTCTTCTTCAATGCGGTGGTATCCATACACTCTACCTCGACTCCGACCTTCTGTACCCGTTCTTCCACTCCATCTGCTCCCAGATGCTCCTCGCGATGATGCAGGTGCTTATCGTAGACACGATGTGCCGGTTCATATTCTTCGCCGGCAGGCTCTTTTGCGCGCGGTGGGCGCCTCCTCTCAGAGCGATGGGCGGCAAGCAGGTCTTCGGGATGATGGGCCGATGGGCAGTCCTGTCCTAGGTGGAGGCGGGGGCGTGCCCCGCTTGAGACTCCCAGCCCTGCGTGCCCCTGGCCAGTATGCTGGCAAGCTCTCCCTGGTCTCTTGGAATACCCAGGCGCTCTTCGCTTTGGATCCGGCTCGCCACCGGGACAAGACAAAGTTTGTGCATCAGCTTATGGCGTCCCATGACATTGGCTGCTGGTCCGAGTCCCGTGGTACAAATGACAGGTGCAAGTTATGGAGAAGCCCCCCCCGGCGCTCCTCCTGGTGGTCCCCAGGCCCGACGCCAGCGGTTGCAGGGGTCGGAATCACGGTGAAGGACGACTTCCTGAAACTCTTCGGCCATAAACTGCATTTTGAGGTTATCTTTCCTGGGCGAGCGGCTGCGCTGCATCTGGTGGGGGAGCATGGCTCCTTGGATATCTTTTCAGTTTACTTCCACACTGGCAACTCTAGTCCCGCCGAGGACCTGGCCGAGGCGGGCTTCGATCCAGAGGGTCGTGCTGCCTCTGATTATGAACTCCGGGAGGCGCTCCGCCGTCGGCTGGCTCGGCATATAAAGCCCCGGGACCAGGTGATGACCATCATCAGCGGGGACTTCAATTACGTGGTGCACTCTGCTGACCGGGTCTGCCCCTCGACTGCTTCCAACACGGGCGGCCGGGATTACAGAGACTCTTGTTCTTGGCGCAATATGCTCGAAACCCCATTGGGGCTCCACGAGTTGTACCAACCAGAGCACACGTATGCGTCCCCAGACTCGCGCTCCCGCATCGATCGGATATATAGCAACCAGTACGACGTCGAATATTTAGACAAGGCTGTCTGTTGCACCGCCCTCAACTGGCCCCCATTACTTTCGCGCCATCGCCCAGTCAGCTTTCGGAAGTGCCTCAAGATTGCCAGCGGAGACGCGGACCGCCCCATTGGCGACCAGGTCCTGGATCATCCCGACTGGCCTCGGCAGGTGGCACTCGCCTGGCAGGATCTCCTCCGGGACCACGCCGGCGCCTCGGGCATCGTTGCGCTGCAGCTACTCAAACGGGCCACGCGGCAGGCCGAGGAAGCTTTGCCCTCTCAACTTGGCGGAGCTCCTCCTGTTGATACTCTTGAGGATCGCATTGGTGCCACGATGAAATTTTTGAGGACATCGGAGGCGGGCAACCCTGAGCGGGTCTCCCGGTGCTTGGAGCGGCACCCACTTCTTCGAGATCTTGTGCCAAATCCGCATGATTTTATATCCCCTGCTGGCCCTCGTCTCGCCCGGGTCCGAAGGCACGTGATGGAATTGCAGAACAACTTCACCATTCAAGAGCTCAGCAGCCTGCACTCTGACCTCAAGGACCTTGATCCGGACCAGGCCGCGCGCCGTCGCCGTAGGAACCACCAGTTGGTCTGCCCGTTAGCCCCGGGGCGCAGCTGCCAGAGTTTCGCCATCGACACCGCGTCGGGGGAGGCCACCTCCGACCCGCAGGAAATGCCTGCTTTTTTGCGCGCGCATTGGGAGAAAGTCTTCAGGCAGAGGGATATCGATCAGCAGTTGATGGCCTCGTGGCTACGGGAAGACGCGCAACACCTTCCAGACGACTACCAAGAACACCTGCCTCATGACGCGGTGCCAGAGGCGACCTTCAGGGAGGCGATCCTGCTCACCGGGAACAGCTCGCCTGGCCGGGACGGCATTCCGTTCAAGGCCTGGCGCCGGGTGGTGGACCTCGCCGCTGGTGCTTTCGAGGCGGCCTACAGGGATCTCGTCGCCGCGGACGGCCTCGACCGAGCGCGCGAGGAGTGGGGGTCTTTCAACGAGAGCACCATGGTATTCATACCGAAAAAGGCCACGTCCATCCGCGCAGACGGGACGGAGGTGTTCCCTCCCGGCAACATGAGGCCGCTGAACATCACGAATACGGACGACCGGGTCCTGCGCAGCGCTGTTCGCATGCACATCGAACCGCAGGTAGCACCCGGGGCATCGCAGGAGCAACGCGGCTTTCTTTGCGGGCGCTCCATGCTCGCGAACGTGCTGGACATCGAGGAGGCCATGATCGATAACGCCTTCACACAGGACTTCCCCCTCGCCGTGTTCCTGGACTTTGAATCCGCGTTCCCCAGCATCAACCAGACTTTCATCCAGCAGGTGTTGGTGTCGAGGGGGTGGCCCCCCTGGTTCCGGTATTTTGTTGCGGTGCTGTACGACAACAACTACTGCTTCCTTTCCTTGAACGGTTCTTCAGCAGAGGGCTTTGGGATTACCACTGGAGCGCGGCAGGGGCGCCCTCTGTCACCCCTCATATTCTCGATTGTCTCCGACGTCTTGATCCGCAGGGTTCGCCGACTCGTGCCGGCCGTGGTGCTTCGCGCTTATGCTGACGACATTGCGCTGGTGCTTGGCCATGGACCACAGCAACCCGGGCTCCTCGAGGTCATTTTCGGCGAGTACGAGTTCGTGTCTTGCCTGAAGTTGCACAGGGGTAAGTCCATCATTGTGCCGCTCTCGCCATTGCCTCATGACCAGATTCGCGCGGCGGTGGCGGGCGCGGCGAGATCTTGGGCAGAATTTACTTTGGCGGGTCACGCAAAATACTTGGGGTTCATCTTGGGCCCAACCCGGGCGCCCCTCGCATGGGACTCCGTTTTCGCGAAGATGCTGGAGCGGGCCCTGGTCTGGAAGCGCATCGGTGGTGGCATGCTCGTATCCGCGGTGGCGTACCGCATGTACAGATTGCCCTTGGCAGGCTTTCTCGCCCAGCTGGAGGACCTCCCCTCGCGCTGGCAGCACGTGGAGCGGCGCCTCATGGAGACGCTGTTCCCTGGTGCCAGGGGCTGGGCCACCCCCGGTCTGCTGCAGCAGCTGACACAGTTGGGCTCTGCGTCGGATATTCCAGATCTCGCCGCCATAGCGCTTGGCTCGAAATGCAGAGCCCATCGCTGGGAGAACACGTTGCAAGGCGGCCTGCAGATTGAGCCCCGGCAGCGGCGCCTATCCCAGGCTGTGGCATACACGACGCACCTCGATCGGGTGGCTGCCTGGAGCCAGTGGGTTTCCGGCAGCTTCTTCTCGAATTTGACGCGGGCGCAGCGGCAACTGGAAAACGCAGCAGCGACTGCACGTCTCAGCGTGGATCGGCTCCTCCAGGGCTCCGCGGAAGCCCCGGTCCCGAGGAAACGCTGGCAGCGGCGCTGCACCGAAGTACTCCGAGTTCGGGACATTTAGGGGCTTCACAGGCACCTGCGGGCGCGGTTGGACCGCTGGCAGTTGCAAGTTCTACCTGGACACCGAGCTCGGCGACTGGAGGCCGCCCTCGCGTGCATCGGTAAGCTCGTGCCCCCCTGCGCGCGGGCAGCCGCGCTCAAAACCTTACTTGATGGGTGGACCACGGCTGGGGCGAGCAGGAGGTCCTCGCCATGCTTGTTCGGGTGCCAGAATGGGCAGGACAGCATCGCGCACTATGCGCGCTGCCCGTGCGTGGTCCGGTTGGCTCGGACGCGCCTCCGGCTGCAGCCGGCGCCGGCCGCCGCGCGTCTCGACGACTTCTTGCTTTTGGGCGGCCAGTCGTCCGAGCGTCACCTGGCCCTGCGGGCGCTTTGCTTGTGCGCCACCTTCATGGCCACGAATGCCGTGCGTCGCGGGCGGGCGACTGCCGCCAGCGACGCAAGGGTGCAGGCCTTCATCGAGGCGGCGGCTCGCGATTCTCCGCTTGCTAACATCGTGAACACGCTCTGGAGCAATTGATCCTGTCCTACACACCACCACCTGCATGTGTTCATGTTCGACTTTTTCTTCTGCGCGACGGTCGTCTTCTGATCCTCCTGCTCCTCCTCCCTCCTGCGCGGTTTCACATCGCCCTCCCGCGGGGGACCCTGGCGGGCTTGTGTTTGCCAGCGACTCTGCACTCGTGCACGTTTCAGCACCCCCCTCGCTGCTCTCTGCGCTGCTGTCGTTCCCTCGTCGTTCTCGCCCCTGCTCTCCTCTCCTCCCCTGCTCCGTGGCCTCCCTCTCTTGGTCTCCCCCCCGCCACCGCGGGCCGTCCTTCTCCGTCGTCGTCGTCGTCGTCGTGCGGGGGGCCCCCGTGGGGCTCCCGTGGGGCTCGCGTGGGGCTCCCGTGGGGCTCCTGTGGGGCTCCCGTGGGGCTCCTGTGGGGCTCCCGTGGGGCTCCCGTGGGGCTCGCGTCCTCGTCGTCGTCGTTCTCTCTCCTCCTCGGGGGTGCTGGAGTCAAAAATGCGTAGCCCACGGTGGTCCCCAAGCGTTGCGTTTGAACGCAGGGACGCGCTTGCCAATACTGTTCGTACTCAGCAGGTTGCGCCTGGCAGCCCTCCAGCGCGCCACGGCATTGTGGCTCCGCTTCTTCTGGGATGTTAGTGTGGTATTTCCCGGCTTTAGTCATTGTGCCTGTCGTTTCAATTGTTTCCTCGTGCTGCCCGCGCGGCCCCGGTACGTTTTGAGGGTAATTCGTATCGTTTTACCCGTCCGGATTTCCGCCCTGCTGAACTTTGCTCGTGCCCGAGCTTGGGGCCATTGCCCGATTTTGGGGCATGGAAGGTGATCCTCGACTCGTGCGCCTCGCTTCTCCTCCTCCTCCTCCTCCTCCTCCTCCTCCTTCCTCTTCCCCTACGCTGCTTCTCCTGCCTCCTTGCTGCGGCCCGATGTTGGCTCTTTCCTCATCGGAGTCTCGGGTGACCCTGTAGGGTAATCCACAGGTGTCGCCGCAGCACTTCTTTAATTGGATAGCTGCCGCCTCTCCGTGCTGGACGTTTGAAAAGCTGCGCGCCACGAGTATCGCAGTCAGCATGGCGCCGGAAGGAAATCCGAATACCCATTTTCAATAGGCAGAGCAGAGATCGGCAGGTATCAGCTGGCGCCACAAAAAAAAACATTTGTTTTTAACATGTGCAAGGTATACACGAATTTCTCTGATCAGCGCAGCAGAAATGGTGCTTTAAGGATTCAGGATTTATGCAGGCGCAACCGTTATGTTTGTTCGTTGTGTTGAAGTCGCAAAAATGGCGTTCTGGCACGATTCTGGATCGTCAAGACGCAGCAGTCAGGTTGATACGTGGCGTTGAAGTCCCGAGACCAATATTTTGGCACGCGTCAGGATCTTCAAACTGTTGTCTTCCAACGAGGCAGTTCCCTCCAACCTTGTAGAGGCCTACGAAGAGGGAGTTTGGAGGGAGGGTTAATTCCAACATCGTTGATGATTCTTGGGTTTCCACTGGTCCTCCTCCTCCCCCTCCTCTCCTCCTCCTCTTCCTCCTCCTCCTCCTCCTCCTCCTCCTCCTCCTCCTCCTCCTCCTCCTCCCTCCTCTCCTCCCCTCTCTCCGCGTGCCCATCCCATCTCGGCACACCCCTCACACGTTTCGTGGCCCCATGGGGAGCTCCACGAACGTGTTCGTTGTCTTTTCATTGTTTTGCCGATCGGCGCGGGCCCTCGCCCCCCCCCTTCCCCTTGGAGTAGATCGTGAGCGTTTTCTTGTTCGGCGTTTCGACATTGGGCGGAAGGGGGGGGGGCCTGGCTCTGGACCTCTGTTTAGTACGACTGTTCGCAGCAGTGCGTCCTGTGGGGGAGACCCCACCTTCCTGAAACAGGCGCCAAGAAACAGCCAAGATCTACTCCATGGGGGCGGGGGGGGGTGCGAGGGCGCCGATCGGCCAAACAATGAATAAACAACTACCACATCTTGGCTGTTTTTGTTGCGCCTGTTTCAGGCAGGTGGAATCTCCCCGATCGGACGAACCGTTGCAAACAGTCGCAACCAGAGCCCCTCTCCCCTTCCGCCCAGTGTCGAAACGCCGAACGAGGAAACGTGCACAACCTCGTCCGTCGTGAGACAGGCGTGGAGGCCGTCTGTTATATTCGTGCGCTGCGCCCATGATATGGTGATGATGGTGATGGCGATGATGATGGTGATGGTCAGTGATGATAATGGCGGGTGCTGTGCAATCGACGGCGTGTCCATTCATGTGCGTGGCGATCGTGTCAGCTGTCCTTATGAATTCGACCATGGCGTCGGTACCGCTGAATTGAAGGTGAAGGAGAAGGGAGAGGGAGGAAAAGGAGAAGGAGGAGAATGGGGGGGGAGGCCAGAGGTGAAGGATGGGGAAGCCGGAGGAGGAGGAGGAGGAGGAGGAGGAGGAGGCCAGAGGAGGAGGAGGAGGAGTAGGACTAGGAGGAGGAGGAGGCGCAGGAGGAGGCAGGCTGGTGGAAATGTGGAGGAGATGGCGAGGGAGTGCCCCCCTCACCGCGCGCCGCCCCCTGCGCTGCGCACGCCAGAGTAAGAGCGCCCAGGTTTGGCGACGAGGCCGGGCGCGAGCACTTCACCACCTGCATGAAGGCCCCACGCGCTCCGCCGCCTGGGGGTGGGGGGGGGGGCGCCGACCCCCCTCGCGCGTTTGCCGGCAGGGACCCGTGCGCGCGCCGATCAGCTCTGCGGTCGGGCCCAGGTGCAGGAGCGAGGTCGGCTCGGGGAGGGTATGCCCTGATGGCTACAGGCCGCTGGCCGGGGACGCGTAAGGCTCGAGTGCGCCAGGATGCGCCTTCGCTTTCTGCCGAGGCCGAGCCCGGCCAGGCCGAAGACGCGCCAGGCCGTGCGAGACATGCAAGCGAGTTGCGTCGGCCTGCACAACATCGAGGTGCGAATGTAGTCGGCCAGAGAGGGGCAGAGGGATAGAGAGGGACCTAAAGCAGAAGAGCACCCCTCAAGAACATGAAACCCTCCGCCGGCCAAAACAAACAGAATATCCCAGGGTACCCTCCCCAGGATGCACAAGAACTTCCAACAAACACGAAGAACATTATAGAGGCCTCCTAGATAGGGTCCGAGTAGATAGGGTCGGAGGATCGCGCCTCATCGCCAATGCACTGGCGATGCATCGACGATGCATCGGCCATGTATTGGCGACATCGGCGATGCATCAGCGACGTCGGCGTTGAGAAACACGGACTCCACGTCGAGCCGTATCGGCGATGCATCGGCGATGCGGCGCAATCCCCCGGCTCCAGCTGCTCCGACCCCAGCTAGCGTGAAACGTGAAGCGTGAAGTCCTAGCTCAGGAGGCCCGCGGGGGGCAGGACAGTACAGCGGCAAACTGCGCTCGCGGGTACAAGGACAGCACAGCGACAGTACAATGCAGCGCTCGCCCACGGGGGGCAAGACAGTACAGCGACAGAACAAGGCAGCGCTCGCCCACGAGGCGAATTCACCAGATAATTGGTGCCATGCCTCACGATCCCGACCCCATCTGGGATCGGGGAGACGTAAGACTCGGGTACGGGGGACGCGGGTTCATCATGAGAATGACGAGACGCATTCTGAAGTTTGGCACGAGCTACCGCTGCAAACGTTCCACGAAAACCCGACTCCAGGGCCAGCTTCACCCGGCGTGCGCTGCGCTGGCCAAGTCAGGTGTTCTTGTTGAGTTGGCTAGGCTTAGTTGGCCTTGGCTGACGGTAGGCTTGGGTAGCCGATATTGGCGTTGGCTAGCTTCACGTCTCATGGTTCTTGACTGGGGCTAGCTGGGACTCTTTGGGCTCAGTGCTGCTTTACAAGCTGAGCGCATCCGAGCTGATGGTTTCGAAGACGCCTATGGCGAATCACTGCCAACGCCTGCCTTTTTTTCTGGGGGATGCTTACGTGGCGAAGCATTAGGCCAGCGTCTGGTCAAACTATTGGATTATCTTATGTGCTCCCCCAGCTGTCGTGTGGAAGGACAGAGACCGAGACCAAGGCAGTGGTAAGAGAGAGAGAGAGAGCAAGGGAACAACAACATTTCCTTGTGACGGACTCAACCCATTTAAACCAAGTGGCAAGAGGAGTTGGACCAAATTTGCCAGGACGATGACGGCGCAGGCGTCGTTATATCTTATGCAAGCTACATGTTATGTTGTGCACGTGGCACGACTCACGGGACAGCAAGACAGGGACGAACAGCGATAGCCCAGGCTTGACGAGGACATTGGAGGCGGGAGCGAAGGGCAGGAGAAGGACGCGCGGGGGGGGGGGGGGGGGGGGGGGCCGAACCGTCAGCGCGGCAGCCGCAGAGGGAAGGCGGCAGGGGGCAGAGGACCACGACGAGAGTGGCGACAGGAGGCCGAAGAGTGCTGCTGTTGTCGGCAGCGCGCTAAAGATGCAGCGCTGCCTGCGCCCTGTCGCCGCGGCGCTCGAACGAATAGCACACTTGCTTATAGTAAGTGCAAGAAGCGAGCGAGGCCTCGCTCGCCCGCCAGCTTCTGTGCTTCCTTCTTGACGATCCCGGAAAGTCGAGAATGTTGTATATGAGCAACAAAAAAGGCGTTACTCCGCTGGACTCCAGGGATGGCGAGTTCTCCTGTGGTCCGCGTCAGACGTCACTCCGCTGGGCCCCCCCAGCTGCTTTCTAAAGTGGCGACAGTTTCGCCGATCGCAGTCCCACAGGGATGGCGAGGTCTCCTGGTGGTCCGCGTAGGACGTCACTCCGCTGCACCCGCCAGGAGCCTTCGAAAGTGGCGACAATCTCGAACATCGCAGCCCCCGAGGGATGGCGAGGTCTCCTGGTGGTCCGTGTGAGACGTCGCTCCGCTGGATCCCCCAGCAGCCGTCGAAAGTGGCGACAGTCTCGCACATCGCAGCCCCCCAAGGATGGCGAGGTCAGCTGGTGGTCCGCGCAGGACGTCACTCCGTTGCTCCCCCCAGCAGCCCTCCAAAGCCGTGACAGTTTCGCACATCGCATCCCCCCGGGGATGGCGAGGTCTCTTG